TATTGGCACAAACTTGGCATGTTGGCCTGCCCCAGGCAATCGCCTCCATCTTCGAGGTACACTTCGACGGGTTTGCCAAACGCCCTTTGCTCTTCTGGCCGCTCTGGCGATGTGAGCAGAGGGGAGTGTCCTCATAGCCCTGGATGTGCAGCTGACTGCGGGCGGTCGCGATGTATCCGGTTGGCCGGGGCCAGGCATTGCCCAGACTAGATGTGCGAAGGGTCTCATGGATCCAACCAGCCAAGGCCCTGTCTCTCAGCAAGCCTTGGATGTCGACATCCCTCACACTTGCCAAGTAGTCCCAAGCTGCTTCAAAGCGCTCCCGGAGCAGAATGGCTCGGATCATACACGCGGTACCCGCCGCGCGATGCCGGCCACTAATGCAGTGGAGGAGCACATCCTCACCTCCCCACAACGTATTGCACAGGAGCGGAAACAGGTCGCGCCATTGCTCGTCTCGCCTATCAGGGTGGGCGATAGCGAACTTGCGGAGGGTCGCTCCCTGCAAGCAAATGCCACCCCGCTGCGAAGGCTCCTCAAGCATGCATGCCACTTGAAGAGTGACGGATGGAAAGGCTGATGCTGACCTGTTCGTAGGCAATCCACCCAACCACAACGTGCCGCCACTTTGGACGGACAGCACTTTGGTCGGCGCCTGCGCGCTCTTCCCCCGCACGGTGGCCAAGCGGTCCCACCGCTGGTCGTGCACATTGGGTGTGAACGCGGCCGGGGGCTCGGGCATCTCGAAGATGTCGCTGGGAGCCTCCGTTGCTTCGGCTGCTGCTGCTCGCCATGGTGGAATGACCTCCGAGGCTTTGGGCGCCGCAGCTGTCGCTGCCACCGAGGGCGGCATTGCCTTGGGTGCCACGGGCTGCGCTGGAGAGGGTACTGCCTCAGTGTCCGGGGGTGGCACGGTGCGCAGCTTCTTGGTCTTGGGAGCCGGGACTGGACTCGGGGACGCACTCGGGGAGCGAGGGCCTGCTGAGGACTCATCTTCACTGGAGGTGCTCTCTGGCGATGATGCTCGATGTGGAGCCTCAGGGGCGTCGGCCACGGGGAGAGCGACTGGCTCTGCGGTGCTGGGCACTGCGACGTTCGCCAGCGGGGTGTGCTCGACATCCTCGGCCACCACATAGCGCTTTGCCAAGCAAGCCTGAGCTGGATGCTTCCCTCCGCAGGCACGGCCAGTCTTCAGCACGATGGCACAAAGGTGGGCTTCACCACAGGTCCCCTCGCCCACGTGGCAGGCGTCCAACTGAAAGTTGGGGCATAGCGCCTTGCCGTTCCTCAGGAAACGGGTGACCACCTTGCCATTGATGGAGGGGGGCATCACAGCTTCGGAGCGCTTGGAACTAGCTTGTGCCGCTCTTGTGAGCGCTGCACGCTCTCGCGAAAAAGCGAACGCGCGCTGCGCTGCTGCCACCGACATCGGCTTGTCCCACAAGCTGTGCTTGTCGAGGCTCACCGCCCGCTGCACCTCGGGCTTGGCCGCGTCCACTGCGGCAGTGATGGCGGCTGGAGTTGCCAGTTCCCAGGCATCAAATTCGCCCAACCTGGCGACAAGTCACAGCGACAGATGTTTGAGCCTCATGCTAACGAGATCACGGCTGCCTGCGTAGTGTGTCGGCATGGCGGCCTCCTGAGGTAGCTCACTCTTGGATTGCCAATCCCCCAAGGCCACCATCTCAACCGGGGTGTACTTGGCCAGCAACGCCACGGTGGGCATGAGCCGGCGCCACGAGTAGGTGGAGGGGTCAGCCACGTCGGTCACAAGGTCCTGGAACAGCTCACGACCTGCGGCTTGCACCTCAGAGATGTCCCACGCGCGGCCTTCCCGATTGAAGCAGAGGCCGCCTTCATCTCGTTGGGCCTCGGGCAACTGGTTCCGAAGGGCCACCACATGCTCTGCCCAGGGCCAGCCATCTGTGAACTGCGAAGGGATGGAGAAGTCGAAGCCATCACGTTTGCTCGCCTGTTTCCCTTTGGGGCAATGGCAGTACATCGTTGAGCGGGACAATCGCACCATCTGAGCACGTTGGACATGCCGGTAGCGTAGTACCCCTACGCCAACGATCCAACTTCCCAGCATCGCAGTCCAGCGAGGGTCCTGTCGGGTGAAGGCTTCCTTGATGCCACGCTCCAAGTGGGTGAGCATGGGCGGCTCGACAACGAGAGCCTGGGATCGCGCAGCTGCCCGCCGGGAGGCAGGTGGATCCAGCACGATCGCATCCAACTGCCACCCCAAATGCCCCAGTTTATTCAACCAGCGAAGCGAGTTCAATGCCCGCTTAGGTCCTTTGGAGCCGGAGGCCAGGAATGACGCCAAATCCAAATGCTCTATCGTAGTCCTATCTCGAGAACGCATAAAGCTGACCAATTCCGACCACGTGCGCACAGCGTTCACCACTGTCTGAGGTTCCGATTTGGTCACTTTGACCTGCGCCAAGCGAGTGAGTTGCAGTTTCCACTCAGCTAGGATCGCATCTGAGAGGTTCCCCACGGAAGGGCGATGAATCCCGGCGTCCTCAAACACCTTGGCCAGCGCTTCCACTCGCCTGTTCACACTGTCAGCACTGAAAGCTTGTTGAGAAAGGGTCACTCCCTTCCGAACAGGCACTGGAGGAGCGGGTAGGTGAAGAGCATGTGCCGGCCTGTCGCGACTCGAGCCGGCTTCCACTGTAGAGGCCGCCAACGGCATCAGCTCCTCAGTCTGCTCGGAGCGGGCCTTGGTCCAAGCATCGGCCAATCCCCGGCCCCCGGCCAACAAGGCCTCTTCCGCTGACCGAAAGGCAAAGGCGAAGTCCGCGTCGTCCAAGAGGTGGTATTGCTCCCTGAACTCGCGAACACGGGCGGCTTGGGCCACTTCAGACGAGGTCTCCGGGTCCCACCTGGAGCTCCCCGCTGACTCGACCGCATAGCGCCCCCTGTCAGCCATGAGCCCTGCAAGGACTATCGCACTAGTCTGAGCCAGAACTGTCGATGCACAACGGGCACTGCCGTGACCAGAAGTTGCAGCTCTCACAAACGATCGATCGACAGACTCGACAGGACTCGAACGTGGGCAGGCGACAAAGGAGGCAGAGGGGGGGGATGTACTCAACGTCATAGGCCACGGCCCCCAGGATCGCACGGATGGATCGGCCTGCATTCGCGACTTCCCGGGGAATACCTGGGGTCCCAACCAGGGACGACCATGGTTCCCGCCATGGCCGCCTCCCCTGCTGCCAAAGCCGAACCAGCTCGAAGAACTCCTCGGTGTCGATGCCATCGTCCCCGTCGTCCAGCCGCTCCACGGCCAAACCAACGTGGACCGGCAAGATGTCCAACGGGCCCAGGTCAAAGGCAATCCACTGCAGCGCCAAGCGGTCCAAGCGCGCCGCAGAGGCATGGTAACGCTGCCACGCGACCGCTGGCCCAAGTCCCTCTTGAACCAGCAAGCAGCGGCGGTTCCACACGCCCACCCATGGGAACTGGAAGCCGCCCCGACGGTCGGTGCACCTTGCACACGGAATGGTGGTACATACGAACCGACGAACCGGGGGGAACCCAGCGATGGAGAGGGGTTGCCCTGGAGACCCCAGATGCACCAACTCCACCACGGAGGCCCAGAGGCGCAAAGCTTCCCGCTCGCGCCCCTCAGCAACCAGCTCCTGAAGGTGAGCGCTGAACTCCATCCACGCGGCGGCATGGATCACCTGGTACCTGGTGTAGGCAGCAAGGCTTGTTCCCAACTCGCTCATGGGAAAACAGGGTCCCTCCCTGCACAAAAAAAGAACTGTCTCTCCAAGGGTTCCGCCCTCAAAAAGAGAGAACAAACGCTATTTTGGCCAAGTCACTTGAGCCAAAACATTCGTTGGTTCAAACCTATGGCAGTAATGAATACATGTTCACCCAAGCCTGCCAGACCTGAAACATGTTTATAATATATATTATATAAGCCTATTTAAGCCTTTTAGCTTTGTCCAGGAAACCTTCTCTTTTCCCGCTCACAGCCCAAATTGAGGTCATAGCCTCTCGTCACTACAGGCTTTGTCCCCAAAACCGAAAGCCATCACTTCAACCTCCGTGATCCGCCCCCCTCCCCGCACGGCGATCGCGCCCTACCCCCGATCGAGTGAGTTGACAGCCACGGGACGCGTGTCACAGCGACTGCGTGCCACGGGACACTGAGTTTCTCCACTGCGCCGAGTGTTCTGAGGAGTAGGGCTCCAGTCGTACCTCCTCAGAAGGTATTTGGACCCTCCTGGCACCCACCTCAGTCCCACCTTCTTAGAAGGCACTTGGACCCTTAGGGGAGGTCCTCCTTACTAACCCAAACGCTCCATGGGACTGGAGATGGCATGAGCCGGAGGTTCGGCGAAAACACCTCAGTCCCATCGGTCGACCCACGGTCCCACGACGGCGCCCCCTTTTTCCGCTGTGGCACGGCCCAGCACTCGCGAACGGCGCGTTACGCCTGGCGAGAGCCGGGACACGAAGAGAGGCAATTGAAACCAAACGCCTCCTATAGTTAGGGGGTGGAGCCTAATGGAACTTCTACGGACATGCCGTTTTTGATGCATTAAAGTGGGGGGCTAAACGTGGAGGTGGAGGCACCGGGGACCTCTGTATCGCTGTGGCCGGACGGAACTGGACGAAGAAGGGAGCGATCTTCGTCCGCCTCGTGAAGTCCTCGTGGAGATTGAGTGAGTGATCATGTGTCTGTGATGATGCGATGTCCCCTAATTATACAGGAGACTCCTGGAAACAAACCCCCCTAGCAGGAACCAATGAACACAAGGTTGCCCCAAAAATATCCAAAGGACTGACTTTGGACTGAACTTTGGCCCTGTTGGTCGACTGCAACTCTTCCAATGCACCTCGCCCTATGTATACCCTAGGGCTCCTGTCCCATCTCCTCAGGTTCGGTGGTATTCGACCCCCCTGGCACCCACCCTGTCCCATCTTCGAAACGGAGGTGGGCCAGGAGCCCTATGGCCGTCATCAGCCGTCCTCCGTGCCTTGTAGGTCCGGATCACGTCGGTGATCACCAAGCGGCACACCGGGCAATCCGACACCATCTGGGCGCACCAGCGGCAAAGCATGAAGTGACCACAGGGGTAGAGCACCACATCAATGTCCTCGGCACACCGGAATCATGGATCGATGAGGACTGGTTCGACCTGAGTCTGCTATAGGTCTTGCGGTTCCTGGCCTTGCTTGCGGGTTCTTTCCCGAAAGGACAAAGGCATGGACCTTAAACAGTAACAGGCCTTGAGAGGCTGCAGATTCCACTTCAAGCTCAAAGCATGGTTCTACTTAGGGACCATTCACACTCAAGCGGGTCAATACTATAAGTCCATACCCGTGATGATCAACCGCCCGTACGGCACCGGACCGCTCCCCTTTTTTCATGGGTCTTGAGCCCTCCCTCCGTTGACACCATCTAGCCATCGATCGCTCCATGGAACCAAAACTAGACCTTGCGACCTTGACTATGATCTGACACTTTGGGAGAATTGACACATGTTCCCCGAGTACATGTTCAGCACTCATGAGGATTGCACAAGGGATCGAAGCGACCGTCAGCACCGGACGTCTGGTCGTCGCGCGGATCCCCAAACCAGCGGTCTGAGGACCCTGCATCTGGTCATTCAGGGGCCAAACCCCTTGGGCCCAGACTGACTGGTCTTTGCTACTTCTGCGAACCCCACACCCCTTAGCGCACAGTTCGCGAAGGCAAAATAGGGTTAGCAGGAACCGTTGGGCAATAGCCAAGAAGTCGTCCGCGAACTCCCAAAACATCTGCAACCCCCACGTGGGTTCTAAGACACGGTTCGCTTGGCGGGCAATCCACCGACGTGTTGCTGATTGCATCCTCCCGTTCGTGTTGCATTGATCCTCTTCATGGCGCCAAGTCGCATTGTCATAGCAAATCTTGCAGAGGTCCTCATCCCGACGTTCACCTGCACCCAGCCAACAGGCCGAAACATACACACCCGTCACTGTCGCAATTGAGAGGTTCCACTTGGCCCGTCTCCATCAGTGTACTTAACGTGTCTTTTTTTGTATGTATGTCTTTCTTGTCCTAATTATCCTTATGTTATTTGTCTCGATATATATATATATATGTTGTTTGTATTCTAACGTTCCTTCCTTCCTTCAATTTCCTTCCCTTCAATCCCTTTCCTTCCCTTCCTCTTCCTTCCTCTCTTAGGCAAATAAACATAGATTTGGTTTTATCATATAGGTATCACATATATCCATGTAGCATATACAGGACATCTTTGTTGCTTGATGCATCCACCGTCCAAGCCCCTCAGCTCCGGCCTCGCTTCTGCTGCAAGGTGTAGGCGGTTTGGGCTCGGGAATTCCTGGGTTTGGCCACTGGTGCGTTTCAAAAGAATCCACACGCCTCGCGACCGTCGGACGCATTCCGCAAATGGCATCAACATGCCACGCCGCAGGTTGGTTCAGTGAACCCCACCGACTGGAAGCTGAAGATCCAACTCTTAGCGCTCAGAGTGAGACTCAAAAACGACATGGTTCCTCTCAAAGTTGTTTATTGTCCAATCTATATTGCCTTAAGAAAGTGCAAGAAATACACTATAATTGTAATACTGTATATATAATCCTTTAGTATACAATATTCTAGACTCGAGTCTCCTACACTTGGGTGTGCACCCCAAAAATCAATCTCAACCCACCCATACATATCCCTAAATCTGGGAAATGGCATGAAATCCGGTCCAAAGGATAACGCCGGTCCACCTCTCTTGGACTGGGAATTCCACCGTTCGGCCGAATCCCAAGCTTCCGCATGCGCTGCTGCAGCGAGGACAACTCGCGTTCCTCAAAGATTCGCGCATCCTGGCACGACGTTGGGCACGGTGAAAGAACCAATTCCATGGGACTGGAGACATGCAACAGCACCAAACCACACTCAAACCGACCGCTCCAAAGGACTGGAGACATGGAGCGGGTGGTGGAGCGGGTCACCCTGCGGAGCGGGACAAAGTTGGTCTTAACACCTCGCAGGCATTTGTGAACATGGGGTTGTTTTCTGGTCTTTCCATAGAAAATCCACTCCCTCTGATGATGTTGGAGTCCAATAAATTGCATCTCAAGGTTTGAGGCTTAAAGCATCTCAAAAGGCTTAAGGGATGACTTCATGGTTTACATTGGTTTACCATGGTTTACCCGACGCCGACCACACTTACTGGTGGAGTTCGCCCCTTTCCTTCGTATAAGGAAAATAATGGAAAATAGTATAAAATATTGTATGCAATTCCACGTGACGTGCGTTGGCGCGTTTTCTGAGTTGAATGGCGGAACAATTCCTTTCTTTCGGGGCTTCGCAATTGATCCCATTCCCTTTTCTCAGTCGCAGTGATCTTTGTACCTTTTTTCTGCGGTGCACCATCAAGAAGTCCGGGCCGGTCCGTCAGTCCACCTATCCACCTCAAGAATGCAACCCAAAAGGTGAAAAAGCACACCGAAAAAAGCACGACACCACTCCTGGCTCCCATGCAGCTCGTTGGCCGTGCCCGCAGCCCTTCGTGCCGAGCCTGACCGCTGAAGCCACCACGGGCCCGCTGGCCGCGGGCGCCCCGAACCGAAATCCCAAAAATCCTTCGAAGTATAGTTTTACAAACGCAACGATCAGCACCCTCCGGAAACGGGTCACCTGGCTGGTTTCGCCCACACATTGAGAGATCTCGTCCAGGACACCCCGAGACAGGAAGGATATAAGATATATTTTGGGGTTCGTCCCATGGTGCCACAGTGGATCATGAGTTAATTAGTGATATGCCTGTACCGACTGTTATTGATGGGCCTGGGCGATGTTCCATGTCAATTTTATGAAGCGATCAAGTTCAGAAACTGGTGATATGTATTCCCATGTCCAAAACGCTCCATGTATGCCATATATGCCTACATAGAGGTGGTTTGGGGGGTCAACGTAGGCATATATTCCATAAATGGAGTGTCTGGGTCTTGTTCAAGTTCGCACGTTCACATTGATACATTCCTCTTGCAATTTTGTAAGAACTGCGCCACTGGGTGACGCCCGAAAGGACATGGGTGAGCTACGATGAGAGACACCACTGCTTGCCGCGTGTCAGACCGACCTGAGCTTGGTGGATCCAATCTCACAAAAATTCTGCTCCACGGATGCCAAGTGCTGAGTTTTGCTAGATCTTGAGTCCTCCAAGACTCTGGCCAAAAAGTAAACACCGAGTACATCACATATATATATATATAAACATAATATAAGCATCACACTTGCCCAAAGTGAGCTGAAACGGCTCTCTTTCCGTTGGGACCTCCCCCCCCAAGCACGCCGGGTCCACGGTCGCCGCCCAGCGCGCGCGCCTTCCACCATGATCCGTCTTGCCTCGGTCAGCCTTCGTGCATACTCGTCGGGCGGCAGCATGGGCCTCGAGAGAAGGGATGGATGGAGGCAGTTCGTACCTCGGGTTCGGTACAGTCGTATACCTATTTTTTGGTTCGGGTCATGTTCCATGTTCAGTACTTGAAGTCGGGTCCTGGATGGACCAACAGACCGGTTGCATGTCGCAAACCATGTCTAGACCAATAAGAAAAAGCACATGGGATGCATCTGTTGTGTTCCAAAAAGAGAACGGATGAATGTCTTAGACCAAATGCGGTAAGTACGTGACCCTGAAGCTGAGGTTTGCCACTCGGCTTCAGCACTGTGTTCCTTTGCCATCCTTTGACCAGGCGTTTTCGCAGTAGTCACGCATGGGTGAGCCAGAAGGCGGCAACCTCACTTGCATCTCCTTTCCCTAGGGCCTAGGGCTCCAGTCGTACCTCCTCAGGTTTGGTATGGCTGGACCCTCCTGGCACCCACCCCAGTCCCACCAGACCAAAACGAAGGTAGGGCCCCTTAACCTCTATGATGATTAGAGGAACTTACCAACATGGAAGTGAACAATAATGGAACAAAGAAAGGGCCTGTTGGAAGACAACTTTCCTTACGTATACGAATAAGCGGTTGTATAATCCCTGCTACCCCAGGGGGTGGGGGGGTCGGACCCCCAACAGAAAATGGATTATCCATTTTTGACCCTGATGATGCATTAGCAACGGTCTAGATCCAGTGATATTCAGTGTCGTCCATAGCACCAGCCTGCACTTACCCAACCTGTTTTGCACTTTCTGCATCATATTTTGCATCGTTTGGGTTGTGTTTTTGATCTTTTGGCGTCATCTTTTTGGTCTCTTTCGGGCTGCGTCCTGTTTCTGGTCGAGAACAAAAAAGCATTGGATAGGGGTCCAGGTATCTGGTATTTGGAAGTGCAAAACAAGCGAGCGTTGGGTTGTATATCTTGTTACATCGAGCGTTACATCAAAGAAACAGACCTTGATTTACATTGCGTGGACGCGTTGCCTAATACACTGCATGGACGCGTTGCTTACGCCCGCGGGGCGTAAGCGATGCGGACCCTCAGGGAGCTCCGAGCAGTGGGACCGTGTTGCCGTCCAAAAGGTCGCGTTGCTTACGCCCGCGGGGCGTAAGCGATGCTCCTTGTTTTTTTGATTTTTGGCTACGTTCAAAGCAAGACCATCATATTCAATCATGCCAGCATGGTCAAGTGAATTCAGGCGGTTCACACGATCTTGGCACTTTTTTTCTTTCCCTGTGTCTTAATCTACTGCCCAAGCGGAAAGCCATCAAAAGTCTTGAATCTGGTGGGCACCCTGGCATCTCCATGCTCAGACTTGTATTCAGTGAGCTTGCTGAAGCCTCTTTCCCATTCAACCGCGTCGCTTGTCAAAATTTCTCGGGGCCACGCGGAGATAAAACTGGAAACATGTTGGCTGTGTAAATGGAATATTAAAATGGAATTCCTAAAGGTACCCCCCCCTCGATCCTCCATTTTCAAGGAGGGGGGATGTTGTATAGAGCAATCCCAAACAATCCATGTATGCCATATTGTATGCCATATATGCCGATCAATTCACCCCCAAAACCACCCCTGGCCTGATCGGCACTCTGATCGGCATATGGCAGTCCCATGGGTCGTGTCTGGGGATAGATTGGAATAGTTATCCTTGATCATCCTTGGATCATCCTGCTTCGCGCAGGATCGGCTTCAAACCACCGTGCGCCCGGGAGGCCCACCGGGCGCGCGGGTCGGACGGTGCCTGGCATCGGTGTCCAGAAAAGGCTCCCATCGCAAGTGCGACGCCTAGGGACGGCGACGAGGCAAGTGGACCCACCGACGAGGCAAACTCCATCGAATCCGACCTCGTCGCACGCAGGGGTCCGGACCCGGTTCCCAAACCCTATGTGTTGCTTGGGGCCCGGATTCTTAGGGTAACCAAATAGCCAGCACCACGGATTCCGGGTGTCCAAGCCCGTCCTTCCGGCCCTCTGGGGTCCAGGACATTGTCTTGGATTCTACGTGAACATGACGCACATGACTTGGACGATTCTTGGTCCAAGTCTAAGCTATAGTTGGAGGACAACTGCAGGGTCCAAATGGTCAAGCTCGGATCCACTCTGATCCACTGGTACCATCAGGTCACGTTCCACCTCCCGACGTGCAACCAGGCTGCTAAGCCGGGCGCGAGCAGTTCCGGCGCGGCCGCGTGTGCGACGTGCAGTTCCGGCGCATCAGGATCACCTGGGCTGTTGCTTTCTCCGGCCGCCCTTGAAGCACTAACAAAGAGGGAAAGGGATAAACCATGAACCATGGACCATGACCATTAAGCATGACTACCAGTTACAAACCGGGTTACATGAGGAACCTGATGATCCTGATGATAAGCAATTCCACCAAATGTCCTTGCAAGGGTAGCTGCACCCATGCCTGAAACCCTTGGTCGCCCAGTCATTGCGCCGAGGGCGCCAAATCACACGCGCTCCAACCACAAGAAGAACTAGAAAGCAAACATCAAGGAGGCGTTGAACCTCCCAATGCCGACATCTGCAAAGCTGTGGCCACTGGCAACGGCCACTGGTTCATAAGACCATGATAACTAATCAAAGAAACGCCGGTCCAAATGCTAAGCTACTGGCCATCATCACAATTGACCAAGGACCTTCGCATCTCACCAGAACCATTCATGAAGAAGCCATGCTTTGCAATGCTTTTGAAGCCTGCACCGCTCGCCCGGAGCTATTTCAGAGCAATGTGTGCTCAGCTACTGCTTAGATTCACCAGCGTGGTTCGGCTTTTGGCTGCACACCTCTGCGGTCACCCAGTTCTGTCCTCCTCCCCAAAGACCAATGGCCCTGTTTTGTTTGGGGCCACCTCCTTGGGAATCGCCATGCTCTTCCCCAGTTCCTCCATCCCCAGTGTTTCGTCCACCTCCGCTGTCCCCCTCCTCCGCTCAGAGCGGCTGAGCTCCGAGTCCGAGCGCGGCGAGGCTGGGAAGTGCGTGTGCTCCAAGCGGTGCTCCTCGACGCCCAGCGCGACGCCGTCCTCCTCAGGCTCCTGGGAGTCGGAGGGTGGCATCCTGGATGAAAAGAAGAGGGTGTCCCACCTTTTTGTCACGTAAAAGCTGCTTTTTAAGGCCGAAACCAGGAAGGTCTATTCGGCATTATCTCTAAAATCGGTCCATCGACTTGGAATAACATAGTACGTCGACCTACGTGGACCAATTCCAAAGCAATCACTTACAGTCAGTGCGGATGTGGAATTTATATATAGAATCTGTCTTGCAAAGCCACGGTTGCGTCATGGAATATGGTGACACGTCCTGCAGAAAGCTCTCCCAAATTTCCACTCTCCTGTCTGCTTGCAAGCTATACTACTTCCATCTACTTCCCACTGGTGACCCGAAATGCCTCTCGCTCTACTGTTGGCACTCAACCCCGATGTACCCTGATGCTGACTGGATGATACCGAGCTCCAAGCAGTTTGCAACTGGAGGATTGCTGTTCAAACAGCCTACTTCCTCTACCAGGTGAGGATGACATGAACTGGAAAACCAATACCTAATGTCCTTCTGAGAATCTGGGCATTTTTTGAAGGGATCCGATCAGTTTGGTATATATATACCTATTGGTTGCACGCTTCGGGGTATCCCCCTATCAATCAACCAGCCATATATAGAGGGCCATCTACGGTAGTACCCAAGGCATCCCATTCTCGATCAACTTCTCCGGACCACCATACCTTTAAGCCAAAACACTGCAGAGGCTGGCTCGACCACCTCAGCTGGCCAAAGAACCCTGGGGGTACTGCAACATGTTCTGTGCATGGATGTTTGTCCAACGGATTTGGGGATCACTTCAGGATGGGAACGCATAGGGCAAGCTAGCACAAGCAAGTAAATAAAATCAGCAATAAAAGTACAGACTCTGGTTTAGTCTGTCAGCAATGTTGTTGCCATGTTTCAAGGAGCGTCCTCACCAACTCATTATGAACTCCCAGAACAAGTGAAAAGAAACGCTTGCGGTGAAAAGAAACGCAGGCACCTAGGCTCAGTCTCCATGTTGAGGGTATCTTTGGGATGAAACAACTGGAGAAAATACGGTTGGTCATGACCTCAAAGAGTTCAAGAGACCAACTTTGGACGGAAGAAGAGCTCGCCCCCTCGGAAAACAGCTGCAGCAGCGCAACTAGGCTTATATAACCGGACCGGAAGCCGCTTCCAAAGGCAGTACCAAACCGACCGGCAGAATCATCCTCAACTCTTCATCCCTGCAGTCAACAAGAAAAACAACATGGAGTCCTGAAAGCTCCGGTTTCATCCTTCCCGAAACACCTCCAGATGTCACTCCCCCAAAGGTGAGGTGGTGATCTGTCAGACACGGCGCGTGGAAGAGGGTGGAGCCCACCTTGAACAGGTCGCCGATTCGCAGCAAGTAGCGCTTGGACGGCTGACCTCGGCACCGAGCTGCCGCGCTGCCGAACCGTCGCTGCGGTTCTGAAACAAATGGAAGACTGCGTAGGTATTTAATCTGACCATTTGGTGCCTGACCATGTGGTGACCAGAACTACAGTTATATAAAATGCTTGCGGTATCAATACTTACCGTGGACATGTCAGGTGTGACGACTTGATATGACAAAAAGGTATGCTTCGCGTATCGCCCTGGCGCACCATCCGGCGCCAGGCGTAGCCAAGTGCGATTGGTCGAGTACCTGGGAGGCGTCAAGTACCGAGTGCCTGGCTTTTTCTTGAGATTGCTTGAAAGGACTGAGCATGAAACCGAACCACATACTAGTCATTTATTTCATGTCCAACAATTTGACAACTACAGTTCCTGCATATATTTTATATGTAGGATTATGTAGGAGTTCTGACATGTTCTGACATGTTGAAGATCGGACAACCACAGATTCAAGACTAAAGGACCCCTGGTAGCCGAATATACAAGTTTTGCACAGGATCCCCCACGCGGCCTGCTGGTCTTTCGCATGTGTGTGTTTGGATCAACACCAGGATACCTTGCTTGACCTACGGACGAATCTTGCGCATCATGTCTGACCGCATCCCATGGCGCTTCAGGTACACAGGTTGGGTGTCAAGGATGTGGGATAGAATTCCGCTATACAAATGGATACCTGGAAGGTCGCCACAAGGTCTTGGGAAATCCAAGTCTTGACCCATTCCCATATGTGGCTCTTCGAGGTTCATTCTTTCTCTTTTGGTGCGCGGAAAGCAGCCCACGAGTGTGGAGCTATCCAACATGGACTCGAGGATGCTGTATGGACAGTCCAGATGACAAATGGCAAGTCAGCCTTACACTCCCTGAAACAATCATGGAAGTGGAAGGCCACCTGTTTGCAGAGGAATATGGCCATACAAGGGGCCATGCCATCCAGTTTCATGATTGTTTCGGAGAGTGTAGGCCATAAACAATCAAACTTCCACTGTCCTTCGATACTTGAACTGGAAAGAACCCAAAACATCCAAAGGACAGCACGGTGGGATGAGGCCCATGCACAAACTTCGATCCTACTCTATAAGTTCTCCTCACGTCGTGGAGTCCTACTAGGTTTGAACCTTCTGAAATCATGCATCCGTCCTCAAACCATCTCCCACCCCCCGTGCTCCCTGGAGGGCTGTGCGGCTTATCATCCAGCAGGAAGCCTTCTCTTGAGGGTCGGACCTGCAGCCCGTGGGCCAAAACTCCGGAGGAATCCCCTGAAATTTGTGGAATTCCTGGGTTGGTCGAGATAGATCTACAGATCTACATCGATGTGGATGAGTTATATCAATTCAAGTAGGTAGAACTCCGCATCTAAGTGCGTGGGTCGACGAAAGCTCTTTCCATCGCTTTCCTCACAACATCTCACAACCAATTGTCTTACAGTATTACGCAACAACCAAGGAACAACCCCTTGTTGAGAAACACAAGGCAGGGAACAAGAAGCCCCTGGTGTGCTTGTAGAACCATACATCTCCGAACTACCACCCGACTGTACAGGATCTTGGCCACTGTTTGAAGTTTGGGGAACAACATCACTCTGATGGGGTGAGGTGACCGTCACCTGTAGAATGGAATGCTGCAATGCTGCTACTCCACTTTTCAACACATGTAGTGCCTCAACAAGTGTGACATAGTGACAAGATGTTAGTGTCACACCGCACCGCACACCTCAACCGCACCATCGACATGGTGTGTGCACACGTGCCAGCGAAACCGCCCCACACCGCGGACTCTCCGTGCACGCGCGCCGCGCCTCGCAGTGGAAGGACGAGATCTGGGGATCTCGGATGCAAAGCCCATTTCCCCCCTAGCTGCACTGTCGGGCCGCCCGCCGGTCTCGAGCGGTAGGGTCGGTCTCACATACTGAGAGCTCGAACGGTCTCCCGGTCTCGAGTAGATGGACCCCCCCGCGCTGGATATGGATTGAAACCAAGACCACGACGAACGATCTGGGTCCTTCGTGTCAACGCTAGCTCCGAAATGGAATCGGCTGCTGGATGTTGGGACACAAAGGGGTAGTCACAGTCGTCTCGAGCCGCTTCACTGTGGCCTATAGGGAATGCTTTCCACATGAAGAAGGGAACATCAACTGTCTCCATCGACCCTCAAAAGCTGCGTCCTACAGTGAGAAGACCTCTCAGCTTAACCACCCCGACCTCGCGCGTTCCTATTGCCAGAACTGGGGATATCTCAGGTGCCGCTCCAGGTCTCGTATTTTTCGCCCACTCCCTGTCACAAGTTTCCCACAGCATTCGCACAGTGCCGGTGCTATCTAATTATATAATTATATACCAGGAGTGTGGTGTTTTGTTCCCAAGTGAGAGGATAGTATGTGGGCACCCCTAACCTCCATTAAGCACACCTTTGTGATTGCTGGTGCATGATCTCATAAAAAATTGCACACATGACAATAATATATGTTTCAGATTTCATGTTAGAGAGAGAGAGATTCCCAATTCTGTCTATCTGTGTGCTACAAAGGATCATTCGCCCCTGTCCCGCCCCATTTCCCGAACTCACAATTGGCCAATTGTGCCTCCCGTCCGATGAAAACGCCCACCGGCGGGACCGTCACACTGATGTCCTCGGAGCAAACGGGCATCTACTCGAAAGGATTACTTTTGTGGCTGCGACATCCAAATGGTTTTGGGGTTCTTCAAGGTGTTCAGTTTCCGCTCCTACTGGATGTGTATTGGGTATGCACATGTATGCACCCTGTACATAGGGCCCAGTCACCATTGACAAAAAGTCGAAGTCCAACTTAAATCAACATTACAGAAAGAACGTGAGCTGACAATCACATCAACATCATCAAAAATACCATAAAACACGACTTTGAAACATGGCTCTTAAAGAGGTGCTGGATCGGATCCATCATATTGTTCCTGAGGTCGCACCAACACCTGAGATCTTACTGGTTCTCACTTGAGGGACAATAGATACACACATATAATTATATCATATTGTGAATCAGGCATCGGACTCCTTTGACCAAAACACGTCTCAATCGAGAAGTGTACCGTTCGCGTTCCACATCAAGCTGGGCAAGAGGACCCTGTGTTCTGCGGCAAAAATGACCGCTCTGCCATGCTATCCACAGTGGTAGCGGAGCACCAAGCTCCAGGGTTACGCGTGTAGAGCCATGGCGAACGTCGGCACACCTCCTGTGCCAAGAAGTGATGGTAGTGATGGAGTTGAAGGTGAACCCGCGGTTGCGGGATCAGCAAGGTCTCGGGTGCGAGGCCAGGAGTTTTCCCCGGCAGGAGCCGGGATGTCTGACGAGTTTGACAGTGATGAGTTTCGAGAGTTCGTGCAAGAACGTCGACGCCGTGCTCGAGAACGAGACCGCGGACGAGGACGTGGTGAGGAAGATGATGAGTGGAAAGGCGGTGGCTCGTCGGCGAAACCGCCTGAATGGGATGGCGACTCCACGCCATTCCAGGACTGGTTGATCAAAGCCAGATTATGGCTGGCGACAACAAAAGTAAGAAAGACCTCTCAGGGTCCTCTGATTCTCCAAGGTCTTTCAGGAGTGGCCTTCCACACGTTCAAACATTGGGCAAAGGACATGGAATGGCTTCGAGATGAACAAGGAGGGCATCGCCTGCTAGCCGCAATGGATCAGCCAGAGAACTTCGGGGAAGACAAGGAGGAGGATCTGTTGAGTTCGTTGGCCAAGGTGACCTACCACATCCGACGAGACCGAACTGAAGGTCATCGAGTGTTCTTCAACAGGTGGGAAGAGGCCATGAGACGGGTGGCCACTCACCAAGTGGTCCTCCCAGATGCTTACAAAGGCTTCTTGCTCATCAACGCCTTGAATCTAGGTGACCAGGACATCAAGAATATGATGAATTTCACAAGAGGCAGCATCGCAACCAAGGATGTGAAAGAATGGCTTCGAAAACACGAGACGAAGCTGATGGCGAAGGAGGTCGGTATTGAGGTCATGAAAAACAAGAGCAAAGCTACCGCCGGGAGTTCTTCGACTACCTCGGTGCACCACCTCAATGCGGAGGAGAACCTGGACTACCACGACGAGGACGAGATTCTCGAGGCCGTCCTGGAAGAGTTGAATGACGAGGAGGACGGTGACCCGGGAGAGGATGGAAATGACGCAGAAGAAGAGGTACTAGATGAACATGAGGTCAAGGAGATCTTGAACACCATGTACCAGAAACGCACATTCAGTCAAAGCCTGAAGCTGAAGAAAGCCAAAGAACTCGCCAGAGGCTTCGGCGGCTGGAAAGGCTCAGGAAAAGACAAGGGAAAAGGAGGAAAAGGAAAGATGATCGACCACTTGAAACAGAACAGTAGATGCGCAATCTGCAAGAAAATCGGTCATTGGCATCGAGAATGTCCAGAAGGCAAGGGTCGAGGAAAGAACAACGTCAAGGAGACCTACTACATGGAGGCGATGCCGAAGGATCCAACCGCAGAGGCCTATTTCTGCGGACATCTTGAAGTGCTCCCTGAAGCCGAGGAGACAGACATGAAGGACTTCAACGACGAAAAGCTGTTCCTCCTCACGGGTCCCGATGAAAGAGAGGAGAGAGAAATCTATGGTGAACAATACCGTCACTTGGTGGAGAACTATGATGGACCTGAGGGATGGCCAGAATCTTCCGACGTTGAGAAGGATGCGGTGACAACATCGTTGATGCCTCCGTCGGTGGCCAAACCTTCAACGAGTTCAAGCCCAGCTGAGCCCGAGGGTGGATCGCAAGACGATCTTTTTGAAGTGGTGACCAGCTCCCACGATGTAGCTGGAGACATGAACATGTCTCAATCCCGATATAAGGTCCAATGCGCTGCTATTGGGGGGGATATCGGGAAAGTTAGTCATGAGGTTTTGTTTGTTAGGGGTGATTCTGATTTGCGGGGGAGAGCAACCGAGAATCATGATAAGCCAAGTGACCACCGCAGGACCTTGTCGCATCGTCGTCGGACAAGTTCAACATCAAACCATGAAGGAACTAACCACGATGATGGATGTGCAACCATTGACACTGGATGTCAACGCATGGCCGTCGGAGAAGAAACGCTCTACCGTCTCGCCCGACAACTACCACAAAATCTGGGAGTTGGACGAATACCTCAAGAACATCGGTTTCGGTCGGTGAATGGAACTACATCCACGTCACATTTGGCATCCATCCCGACGAGTCTGGGCACAAAAGGTAGCGTTTTGAGGCCAGCAATCTTTCAAGAAGGGGAATCCAAGAAGGCACCGTTTCTTATTTCACTGCCCTTCCTACTTCATTGTCGGTCGGTTCTTTATCTCGATCCTCAAAAAGGACTACGATTGTTCCTTCGACGGTTTGGGTTTGGGGTTGATTGCCACCTCGGTCCAACAGGAGCACTACGAGTCCCCCTCAACCAATTCACGAAGGATCAAACTGACCGGTTACACCAACTACATGAACAGTTGCGGAACGATTCAGCCGAGTTCGAGGTGCTGAAAATCGGAAATGATGCCCCCCATGGTTCAGGCTGTGAACCCAAAAGCCCAAGCACGGAATCCAGCTCAGTGATCCCGACGGACGACTGCCATGAAGCGCAGCCGCATCGAGGAAAACAAGTACGACAGCATTTGGGCAAGACTAGTGGCTCGCATGCTTTTTGTGATTCTCCGCCTGACCGAATTGGCCTTGTCGCTGATGGGGGAGAGAATCTACATGGGAACGATGGACGACACCGATGTCGAGGTGACCGACATGGAGGATCAAGGGTGGGAGCAGATCAAGCCTCATGGGTGGAACAAGGCCTTCAGTCTTTGGCCGAGAGCACTCCGCCCGGGACAGAGCAGGACGATCTCAGAAGCCGACAGATCGATTTCCCCGGTCAGCCAAACACCACCAACAGCCTCCGAAGAGAAGAGTCCCTCCAGCTATCGAGCAACATCTGTGACGCCAAGCACGCCACCCGAACTGATGACAAAGGCTCCACTACCGAAGGCATTTCCACAGGAAATCCAGAAGAAGACGAACAAGAAGGAGCCAGAGGAGTTGGAGGAGATCGACATGGAGAAATGCAAGCATACTCGTACATCCAAGCGAGGAACCAATGCCTTTGTCACGGTGGAGAAGTGTCTTCAGTGCGGCAAGACTCTGAAATCGGAGAGGAAATCGGAATCAGAGGTAACATCCATCAAGAAGGAGATCGAATCCCCATCGATGGAACCAGGAGAAGATCAGCAGAAGGACCAGACCGAGTTCGCGGAGTTCCTCGAGTACCAGAAGTGGAAGAAGGAGAAAGAAAAACAACGAACTGGAGGAAACAAGAAATGATGAGCCTGGGACCTTGGCGAGAACTTGGGGAAAAGAATCGGAAAGCGATGGAAGCCTCATTGAAGATGGCAGAGAACTACATCATGGAGATTATGACGCTTCTGAGAGAGGATGAACCACTTTGTGCTGTAGAGAAAAACTTAGAGCGCATCAAGTCCAACACGCGGGTCCACCAACACTATGCTAGGATGATTAAGGGATCCCCAAAGACAGTTGTCGAGATTTTCAACCCGAAGCGCTTCGCTCCGCAATGCCACCGATCAGGACTCATTGCATCGGCAGCATTTGACCTAGAACTTGGAGATGAACTTCTTGATCCACGAGAAAGAGATAGGGTAAAGAGGTTCATTCAAGAACTCAAACCAGGTTTGACCGTGATATCACCGCCCTGCACTTTGTTCAGCATCATGCAGAACATGAACGTGATGAAGAAGGACTTCCGTCGTCGATTGAGGGAAGCCCGAATTCTTCTGAACTTTGCATGTGAAATCATCACACAAATCATGGAGTACGGAGGCGCCTTCCTACTAGAACAGCCACTTACCTCAAGAGCATGGACAGAACGAGCCCTACAGAAGATCCTACAACATGAAGACAGTATTTTGAGCACCTGTGATCAATGCCAATATGGACTACATGATGCAAATGGAGAACCCATGCAGAAGAGAACCGGCTGGGTCACCAATCGGCAGGAGATTGCCGATCAATTGAAGAAACGTTGTGATGGAGCACATCAACATGTACCTGTCCTTGGACAATGCCATGGTGAGAGCCGTGCGCGACAAGCTCAAAGATATCCAGAAGGCTTGGTCCAAGCCATTCTAAGAGGATATGCCCGGTCCATCAAGGAAGACGAGAAGGCAGACAATCTAGAGATCCGATGGCTGGGAACCCATGATTGCCGAGAGCTAGAAGATCGGGAAATCAATTGGCAGAGGAAATGGGCATGGTTCACCCACGTCATGGAACATGAAGTGCACGCCCTACCAGAAGAAGGAGAAGAAAAGCAAGAAGAGAATGAATCACAAAGAGAGAAAACATATCTACCTCGAGAGCGACCATTCACCACAGAGCAACTGGTCAGGAGAGCTCATGAAGGTCTCGGACATCCAGGAAATGATCGATTGGCAAGGATCTTGAAGAACACCAACGCCTCCAAGAAAGCGATCGACTATGCAAAAAATTTGGTATGTGCAACGTGCCAACAACATCAACTAGTGCGACCACCTAGAGCTGCCGCACCCCCAAAAGAGTTACCTCCAAACCACACGATTGGAGTGGATACCATTTGGTTACCAACACCCGGCAAAAAGAGAAGAATGGCACTGAACATTGTTTGCTGGTCAACTCGATTCCAAATGGTGATCCCATTGCGAAGCCACACCGCACCGGACACTAGAAGAGCCTATTTGGAGTGGGTCCGCTTTATGGGGGTACCTCAACGCCTCTTTACAGATCTCGGAAAGGAGTTCTGTTCAGCCTTTCAAGACGGAGCTGAACTTGACGACACCATCGTGGAACCTAGTGCACTAGAAATGCCAACACAGCGATCCATCACGGAAAGAGCCGGTAAGACCTTCAAGGAGATCTTGATCAAAACAATGGAGACCTATGCCACACAAACAGAGTCGGAATGGCGAGATCTCATCGACATTGTCAACATGACGGTCAACCGTCTGTCGAATCGATCGGGTTTTTCACCAGCACAGAGACTGTTGGGCTACACACCAAAGATGCCAGGTGGTCTACAATTCCTCACCAATGAAGAGCAGAAGGAAAGAAACTGGGCCACGAGAGGAGATCTTCAATTGCAGAGATCCCAAACAATGAGACTGGCCGCAGCAAAAGCATTTCACGAAGTGGAGTGCCAGCAAGCTTTGACAAACTCCCTCCATGCCGGACGTAGAGATGTTCCGGAATATGAGGTTGGACAGACAGTATACTTTTGGAGACGAGCTCCCGGGGATAAGGCCAGCAAAGACAGCACCAGCTACTGGAGAGGACCAGCAAAAGTGGTACTCACATCGCCACCCGGAGCGATATGGATCAACTTCCGTCGACATATCGTCAAAGCTGCACCCGAACAACTTCGACATGCAAGTGAAGACGAACATCACTCGCTCTCTTCATGGATGGAAGGTCTTTCAAATCTGAGACACATCATGTCGGAAGAACCAAAGGCAGGCTACATCGACCTCACTAAGGAGTACAAGAGTGAAGAACTAGATCAAGAACTAGAAAATGAAATGCCATTTGAGGACGAAGGAATGAAGAAACCTCGATACAAGATCGAAGGGAAAACATCCATCAAGGAAGTGGAAGCCAGACCTGAGGAGGATGAATGGATGTGGAACGAACAGAAGGGCATTCTTCTGAGATTCCACGTGAACCTCCGAAAGGCGCTCTTTAAGCCCACGGACGTAGAGGACTGCCCCGTGGACTACAACAAACTGAACAATGTTCGAAGAACAACCATGTACTTCGAGGATGGCCAGAGCAAGGAGATCGTTGATGACTGGAGAAGTGAGGAACAAGTGCAAGAGAAAGCTTGGAAAGGAAGAACAGAGTTCTATTTGGACTCAATCCCATTTCCATGGGACGTTGAGCCGCCAATGAAGGAACAACCCACCCCAGGCGGGATGGATACTACTCCAACGGAAGATCAACGACATAGAGACCGAGAACTGGAAGAAGAACCAGAGTCAAAGATCAACAAGAGACAAGGAGAAGATGATCATGAACAAAGGCAAGAGAAGAAAGCAAGACATGAAGATGAAAACGAAAGAAATAGAGGACAAGTGCGAAGAATGGAAGAAGAGTCAGATGAAGCTGAAGAGTCAGGAAACAACAAAAGACAACGCATCGACTGGGTGGAGGTCATGTATCAGACCTTGGTACCTGAAATTCGAAAACAAAAAGGTTCCCATGAGATAAAGTTGAAGGACCTCCTATGCGCAGCACGAGAGAAATTTCTCAAGGCGATTCACAAGGAAGTCAACAACAACATCTCCACGGGAGCATATGAGATCATCTCACCAGAGGAATCAGAAGAGATTCGTCGAGCAGGACACAACATCCTACAATCCAGATACGTCCTGGTTGAAAAGAGAATTGAACCAGATGAAGTCGAAGCCATTCAAAACGAGGAGCTGCTACTTCGAGAAGATGAACACGGTGGTTTCAAAGCAAAAGCTCGACACGTGATGAAAGGCTTCAGTGAACCTGACTCAGAATGGCTTGACGCAGCAACTCCACAAGTGGCACCAGAAACAGTCCTACTGGTCCTACAGGCGATCTGCTCCCGAAAATGGGAACCTGGATACTTGGACTTCACCCAGGCTTTTCACAGCGGAGATGAGATATCCAGGTTGCTTTATGCCGAACTTCCTCCAGAAGGACTACCGGGAGTACAAAGTCGCCAATTACCACGACTAAAAAAAACACTGCTACGGACTGTTAGATGGGCCCTATCAATGGTACAAACATCTTCAACGAACTCTAGTGAACTTGGGATATGAACAATCTCAAGCAGATCCATGCCTCTTCTTCTTATTCGAGGAATCGGAATATCCAGCTCGAGATGGAAATCAAGAAAGAAAGCTCATGGGAATCATTGGAGTGGCAACAGATGATCTACTCCATGGAGGAGGAGAAGAGCATTGGGAGAAGATGAAATGGATCCAACAACACTACAAGTTGGGAAAATTCGCCAAAGGAGATGGAAGATTTGTTGGTAAGGAGATCAAGTGCCTCCCCGACGGATATATCAAGGTCCATCAGAACATGTACGTCAAGGAAAAGATCAAGACGATGGACATCACCAAGGAGCGGAAAACCCAGAAATACAACCTTTGCACCGACCAAGAAGTCTCCGCTCTTCGAGCTCTATTGGGTTCACTAGCATGGCTGGCCAAGGAAACCAGGCCAGACTTGATGGGACGAGTATGCATACTTCAACAATGCATGCCCAAACCGTATGTCAGAGACATGATCGAGGCAAACGCCTTAGCACAAGAAGCGATCCAAGAAGTTGATGCGGGCATCATCATCGCGCCGATCCCGGCCAAGGACCTTCAAATTGGATCCGCATCAGATGCCAGCTGGGGAAATACACCTTGCAAGGAGTTGGAAGAGAAGAGCAGAGATTTTTGGGAAGAACGAGGTGATCTTTGGATTCGTCATCATGTTCAACCCCGACACTTACTATTTCATCCTGGAGCTGATCCCAATGGACCCCAACTCCATGACCTAGAGGCCGAAAGAGCAACCTGGGTAGATGGTGAACTCTTTGAAGACACATGGAACAGACGACAGGATTTCCGAAAACATGGAGAAGCCGAATGGAAAGGGCACACCGTTTTCATGAAAAAGAGGGGAAAGAAAAACAAGATCGAGATTCACGAAAAGTTTCTTCAGGTTGGCCGCACTCACAGCCAAGGCGGGCACATCATCTATGCCTACGACAAGGCACTTGAAGTTGAACAATCACCCCAACCAATCTCAATATTGAGTTGGAAGAGCTACAAGTTGAAGAGATGTACGGTAAACACTCTAGCTGCTGAAGCCCAAGCTATGGTTCAAGGAGTTGGAGCATCCTATTGGATGCGGTTCCTTTGGTCTGAAATCAAAGGACTTCGAATGGACCTGCTGAACTGGCAAGAACAGATCAGCAAAACACCTTTCATCACCGTAACTGACTCCAGATCCTTGTTCGACAACCTGAGCAAGTCAAAGAATGTGGCGGCCCACATCGAGGACAAAAGAACTGCCATCGACCTGACGATCTTGAAGAACGACATGATGGCTACAAAAGGACAGGTCCGGTGGGTTCCAGGCGAAATCATGATTTCGGACTCTCTTACTAAAAAGGGCCCCTCTACCTTCTTAAGAAAAACAATGAGAAACGCGTGTTGGACCCTATTTGAATTTGGGGCCAAAGAGCTCCAAAAATGGACGTTTTTGGTCAACAAAATTTAGGAGCGATGTGAATCAGGCATCGGACTCCTTTGACCAAAACACGTCTCAATCGAGAAGTGTACCGTTCGCGTTCCACATCAAGCTGGGCAAGAGGACCCTGTGTTCTGCAGCAAAAATGACCGCTCTGCCATGCTATCCACACATATATATATATATTATATACATATACCAGCACCCTCCAACAGGTCACCACTTGCGACTTTTTAAGCCAGCAAAAGCCTCCAGAGGAGACCTGTAGAGTCGGGTGCTGGGAGAGGTAATTAGTTAATAGATCTTGAGATGGTTGATCATATCACGCACATGACCACATCATGTACAAAGAATATCTACTCCGCACATCCCAAAGACCGCACCCCGCCCAGCTGGCCTGGCACCCACCTCGCCCGGGATGGCCTCGCCTTATCTGGACCCTCGGTGACCAGCAGAGTGCATCGAGTGCCATCGATGTGGGCGGTGATCTCCGTGGTGCCCAGCCTTACTCGTGTACGGCTCCGGCTCAGGACAGGCGGACGGGCGGAGTTCGGACGGGCTGAAGGTGAAAGACCCAACACACATCTGGCGAACAGATGCATACGTATGGCTTCTCCGGAAATGGTGTGCATCTCTCTAATTCATGGACTAATGGTGTTCATCACTCTTTTGCAAAGGTTTCCTGGAGTTGGACTTCCAAGTTGGCCAAGAATCTGGATGATCATTTGATCTTCCAAAGGCAGCTCCTCTCGGATCATCAGAAACGTCCCTGTGGTGCTCCCAACGTCTTGGAGCAAATACCTCACCCGTCGGGTCGCCGGGCTGGAATCGATCGATCGGAGGATGCTTCGCAACGGTGGCTTCGGGTGCGGATGGAGCTCCATGAGGCATAAGGCCTTGACCTGAAGCCTTGACAACCGTGGCTTTTGCAAGACGATGCTCACAATAAACACCAGGAGTCACAGAGCTCGGGGTGGTGTTGAGTCCCCAGGTGAGTGGATCATGGGCACCCCTAACCTCCATTAAGCACCCTTTTGTGACTGCTGGTATGATCATTATCTACAATACCCAAACACGACCCGTTTGGGACTGCCATCGGACTGCCAATCCATTGGCCTCCCTTTCAACCGCCCCAACTGATCGGCAGTCCGTCCTGGCAGTCCCAAACGGGTCGTGTCTGGGAGGTTATCCAAACAATTCAACAGTAAAACATGCACCAAGGATCACACGTTGGAGGGTGCTGGACTTCTATGAATTCTGTATTTCTTTTATGTGGACGATGCCCTTTCTACGCTACCAGCCCCACTTCCGGAACAACTTCCCCCCCCCCTCTAAACCCACCCGTCCCCGTCCGTGGTGAAAGATAACTCCCTGGTCTGCGAATCTTTGGAATCAAGCTGCTGCCCCACACGATCTCGTAGGATCTGGAAGTGTCGTCGCGACCTCCGATTTGGGTGGGTGGCTGGGTGGGACCTCGAAAAAACCACGGTGAAAGATCTGTAAGTCTATACCAGCACCACCCAAAAGGGTGGTTTTGGGATGGAACATAGATCTTCAGGGGGTCTAGAAACCACCCATTGGGTGGTGCTGGTACAGTATATAGCTAGTTCGTGGCTTCGAGGGGTAGATCAAGCAAGGAATCAAGGAAGAAAACCATCCAAGTGGGACACTCACCACTAAGCACTAGACCAATGAGATCTAAAGAGCATACAGTATACTTGCACAAAATGGGGCCGTGTCCCAAGACCAGGCCCAGCGAACGGAAAACAAGTGGAGCGTGTGGTGTCTTAATCTAATCTGGGATGGGCAGGGTCACTTCATTCAAGAGGTATGTATCAATATTGTTACTATATATATCCTTGTTGTTCTATATATATATGTATATATACTATAGTTAATTGTATATATATATATGTATATATAACTGTATATCTAGACTGCAGTAAACTGTGGCAGGCGGGTGATTCAAGGTCGCCCAACGAAACCATAATTACTAAACCCACAGGCCGGGCGTGTGCCGGGATCAGCTGTGAAGCAGCTTCAGCTGGGACACACATAGTTCTCTGAGAGAACGATGTTATTGGACGCGTTGTGCCGGCCACCTGTGACCTGGGGCCACGATACGAAAAGGCCAGCATCTGGGCATGTGTTTTTTTTTGCAAGTCTTCATGAACACACATCGCGTTGGATGTCTTTCAATGCCCTTTACGGATGGCTTTTGGAGTTTGCAAGATCTTCGCATGGGATCGGCTGTCCTACTCCGAAGGATTAACTGGTGGCAAAAACCGTTCAACCACATTATTACATTATGGCAATCTCCAGCCAGCAGCATCCATTCTTTCGACCACTCCTGTGAGTCAAGAGTGGTCCGAATTATAGATCCTTTTAGGACCCTACCGGGGTACCTATAGGGATAGTCTTTTCGGTTCTTCAACCTCTGTTGGATGTCCATCCTGACCTTTCGATCTGCGCTGCTCTGCCACACCAGGTTCCAAACGCCGCCGTGGTACTCCAGCACCGACGAAGAAGATCTGCCCGGCCACGGGACCCTCAATGGCGTGCAATGCCAGGGTGGCATCCAGGGCACCATGGTGGAAACACCTGGAGATTGGCGATTCTGCAACCAGTAGCCAGGTCGGACGGTGGTCGGACTTGATGCGTTTCATGATGTGTCACGGTGTTGACACAGTGCCGAACAAAGGTGCGACTTCCATGAAAGAAGACCCCCCAGAAACAAGCTGTAGAACATGAAAATTGCCATGCCAAGATTCTAAGCCAACCACAGTCTCCTCAATGCTCGATTAAAGTTAAAGCTTCGCCTTCCAGCTGTACAAAAACATGTGAGAAAAAAACACCTCCTGTTCGCATCGTGTGCGTGGTCGGCCCAACCTCAAGGGCTCCACTGCACTGTCCAGCACCCGCTGTTGTGCCACGTCGTGAACGCCCAGCTCCGCCTGTGGCGCACAACGAACTGAATCAAGGAAAATTTTGCTGGGGGCCATGGCACATGGGAAACCTGGCTTTTCCGAACATGAATAGAAGTCGACTACCAAACATGGTCAACATTGGTCAACCTATACCAGACCTACCAGGGTGAAACCAGCTCCGGGTTTTTGACCCACAGCCATGTTGGAAGACCTGAACATCCCATCCACCCTGCCGTGATAGATGCCATCAGCCTTTATATTCCGTAGATCTCGAACTTCGAGGTGATTTGAACCGTCAACCTATCCATCCCACCAGGGTAGTCAATTGTGGCACCCCGCGGGGCTGTGTAGCAGGGCCGAGCGACCCAATTGGCGTCCGCGCTGAGTTGCAGCAGCAGCTCACCATCGACGCCCCGCGCGGCAAAGGACTCCACGTGCTCCCCTCGCGCATCGCCGTCGCAGCCGGCGTTCGAGGGTTCGGCCGGGATTGCGCTGTGCGCCTCGCCTCGCTTCAGGCCGGAGTAGATACACGACGGCTTATACCCAAACAAAGAATCCAGGGATGACATCTACTTATAGATTGGGGTGGTTTTAACATGTTTTCAGGGTTTGTATAGGTTGTTTCAACATGTTTCAACATGTTTTCCATACATGGATTGTTGGACACATTTTATATTAAAGATTCGCGGGCTCATGAGCCGTGGATGGTCATGAGCCGTGAAATGGTTATCGACATGGCAACATCGGACATTGAGAGTGTTGGCCTGTGGCACTTTAAGCTATGAGTCTCTCTGAGAGCATCACCGTCCACTCAAAGAAAAGAAAGAAACGATTCAGGTTCCAAAACTGAATACAACAAGGTTCGCGCTCGAAAACTAAAAACATTGTTTCCAAAAGAACCACAGTCAGGCAGGAACCCCCACGGCGCATATCCATGGCCTATTCCCAGCCATTGCAGCCAAATGCTGATGTCTTCCACGGTCCAAGACCTTGGATCCTGTCGGCATCGAAGATCTGAAGGATGTCACCGCTCGAGGGTTTTGATGTGGTTTCGGGGAAACACCATCATTCGATTGACCTCTAGCCTCTTCCAGCCCACAATAGAATAACATTCGGGTTGTATACCCGTATGGCCCGTACAAGTATGGCTTTCTTCCGGCGATGCAAGTCCAAGTACAACTTCTTGTGTGAGTCTGGGGCCTCTTGTCCAGTGATGACGATGCAGTGAGCATAGGACTCGACCTGCTTCCGGAGCTCATCTTCGTTGTACCAGACTTTGGGGTCAAAAAAGCCGTGATTTTGAGCCAGCATCGTGTCCAAGTGGATTGAGTAAAGGCTTTGACCGACTCTGCCAGGGGATTCTCCAATAAAGCAACGATCAACATTCACACCTCTTTTGGCCAGCGCCAGCGCTGCCTGGTTGCAGAGGAAAACATCGTGGCTTGCCCAAAACGTTTGGGAATAGAATCGCTCTAAGCTCACCAGGTGTGGTCAACAAGTGCATGTGGAATGTAGACGTAGCAGTTGTTCTGAGCAGATTTCGGCGCGTGAATGACAGGGACATCAGAAGTTGTGTCGTAAACGACACACGTGTTTTCATATGCCACACACTTGGTGGCAGACGCAGGGGCTTCGCACCATTCCACCAACAATGCGATGAGCTTGTCGTGCATCATATCACCTCGCAACGACTGACACACTTTCCAGACCATCTCTGCCAGGTGCTGTGTCCAGGTCTTCTCTCTGCCTGGCCGCTGGACTGGCCTTGGTGCAACAGCAGCATCTTCCTCATCAGCCTCAAAGTCTTCACGCTCATCCCCTTCCAGCTGGCCTGGCGTCTGCTGAAACAAGGCTGACCTGGAGCAAGCATCTGAGAGCTGTCGGTGTCATCATGCTTCGACAAATCAGCAGCAATGGCGCGAAGAATTGATTGGTCATTTCGTCACTGATTGCTTTAAATTGTGTTCTTTCCAATTAAACAATTATTTACTTGTTTAATTCGAGTTTCTTTATTTTTTAAATATAGTTGTCTGACTGATATATAGAGTAACGAAATAGTACCTAAAGGACCCTGGATCACATATTATATATATTATATATCGTACATACCAGGCAGGAGCCACAAGGGGTGGGTGACGGACACCCCTCAGTTTGTAAGGGGCTATTCATAGACACCCATATATATATATATAGTTTTGTGTTTCATCCCCAACCACCGTCGGGCAGTCGCAGGAGGTCGTCCCCAACCACTGTCCTTGATCAACTCTGCAGGGACATCCAGCGTCACTGCCTGCGGCATTGGCCTTGGCAGCGGCATTGAGTGGCATTGGCCATCAGACCGTGGCGTCTGGGTTCAGCCGCCGTGGCAACTGCGGTTCGTGCAGCATGTTGTATAAAGGATTCTTCTTTGTCGCAATATCTAAGGATGAGACGCCCCAAGAGCGTCACCTTTCTAGACAAATCAGGTCCAACATGATCATCTTCACATATCTTCACGCTTTCTTTGTCTGATGGTTGGATGGAACCAACCAACAAACCCCAAGACAAATGTTATCCCCTCAGGCTTCTCAAATCTAAAGCAAACATTCTTGGCCAAAAACAAGCCCAAACAACCACATTCAAGGAACCCTGAATTCGTCTCGACTCGACTCAGCAACCTGGAACATCTACTTCCCGCTCCAGTTTCGGATCATGCACCCACATCTGCTTGTAGTTGACGGCTTGCCGAGACCCCTCTTCCATCCCTGAAACGAAACCAAATCGCTGAGTTTCCCTCTTCCATCCCTGAAACGAAAATACTCCACGGAGCTTTTTGTTGAATCTCTTAGTCAAGCATACTTTAAGTCATGTAAGGCAGCCCCTCCTTTCGCCACAGTCCCCCCTCAGGACCATCCGTGACCGCCATGCAGCCGGCAGCACGTTCGGATGGCCAATTCGATCGCGCACGTTCGGAACGCGCCGGGAAATCACCGGCGGCGTGGTGCAGCTTTGTGTGATGTGATACTCACCCTAGAGTACCCCACAAAGTGGAAGGGCTGTTAGGGGCGTGACATGGACAAGTCCGCAAGTTTGTGTGTGTGATGTGATCGTTGAATCGTTGACGTGTTGGTGACCCGATCGTGTTGGTGCTTTGTGCTTCGTGCTTCGTTCCGGCCACGGTTTGCAAACGTCTGCTGTCCCTTCGATAGGTCAGAGGTCCTAACATCCAGGTGTTTGGGGGGAAACCCACTCGTGAACATCTGTGAGCTATGCTTCAAGTTGTGGCAGTGCAATGATGTATTAGTATTGTCACAGCCTCCGCACAACGCACAGATGCCTGCCTCTAAACAGAACCAGCGTGTGACGTCAGGGGCCCCATGTCACCCTGCGGATGTTCCATGGCAGTACGTCCGCTGCTCCACCGGTGCGTCGTAGTTGCTGCCCAACTTGAGCAGTTTCTTGGGACCTGAGTCATCCGAAAAATATTCACCTAGCTTATGATTCAATGGGGATTGCATGAGATGGGATCTGCTTCACTTCACCTTTGTCGACCAATTCGACCCCTTGTGACTCAGAATCGAGCCCAGCAGCTGCAATCAAACGCGGTGAGTTGCGCTGCATTGAGCACTCGAACATCATCGCACGTGGTTCATGCGTCATGCAGCCCTCATATAGCAACTAGTCGTCAACGTCTGCTGGGTACTCCAAGGGTCACCAAAGTGCCTGCTCGATCCTGCTCGAACATCTCTGCTGTAAAGGGGAGCTATATTTAATATCTCTTAAGGAACGAAACCACACATGCATTAGAGCTCACTTGACTTCCATTGAGAGTGCTTATTGACAGACCATCTAGAACACATGTGTGCCCATTGACTGCATTAGAGTTCGCTTGGGCACACATGCAGTCAATGCAGTCAATGAGGCTGCCAAGGACTGACACCCATCAATGTTGCACAGATCAAAACACACCAAACGGTCTTGCATTGCAGGTTGAATTTCATCAGCCCTGAAGAGGTTGTGTTTTTTAACCCTCAGTTCGACAAAAAGCTGGTGAGGGAATCGATTGTCAACCCAAAAACGAGTTCCCCATACCCACCAGAAACAGCTCATTGCTCTTGCAAAACAAATTCCGGCATACACAGCATCCACTGACACAGTTCAGAGAAGGTTCTTGAATTATCGACTTGAAGACAGTTTTCCGGTTCCCCATTTATTTGCAGGGTGCGTGCGGGATGTCAAGCAAATATATCTATACATATGCACAAGGAGGTGTGGGGCCTGCTTGCAATCTCAATGCCTTAAATCTTGAGTGCCTGATCTTGTGCCCCGCAACAAGCAAGCAGGTATTTCAAAGCTCTAGCGGTTCCATGAAGTGTCTGGGATAGAAGAAGTGGCTCAAGCTACAGGGCTTCGACATAGTTCCAGCATGGGTGATGATGATGCTTTGAGCCGTGCCTAATTCCATTGACATAATTGTCCTGTGCAAGTCATTCCTCATCCACAGCTGGATGTTTGCGCATCTACGTCTTCCCACGCCAGGGATCCTCGTCCCGGCGTAAACGCTAAGAATTCGAAGCGCCGATTCCTCTTTCTGCATCTTCGGAGCGCGCATGTCATTGTACCTTTACCATGCTTTACCACCTATGATGGTCACTATTAATTTCAACTCCACCCTCTTCCGCCAAGGGCGCTGATGCCACGATACAACACGCATCATGATACCAGCATCATATCCGGACCATATCTAACATCTAGCAGCACCCGACTCTACAGGTCACCACAACCTGCGACTTTTAAGTCAGCAAAAGCCTTCATGTCTTTCATGTCTTCGTCGGGTGCTGGTAGATGGTATGGTATACGGTATGGTGAAGGACTAGATGGGGACCACCAACATCCCCATCCACCATCACCAGGCCTTGGGGCCCGGTTTCTCACGCTCCGCGCGGCGTTGACGCCTCGTCCTTCTGCGTCAACTCCTCGGGCAGCTCCTCCGCGCGGAACTCGTCCGTGCCACCGACCTCCGCGGCGACCGAGGTTCGGTGCGGACGAAATGGGTGAAACGGTGGCGAAACGGTGGCGCCACCACTGGGGATTGAAGATGAGTGAAGATGGATGACCCAGGCTGTTTTCATGGCTTTTTCTATAGCGACAATTACAGCACATCATACAATGTCATGCAGAAATGCGTGCCATGTGCAGGATTGCAAGTTTGGGCGAAACTTGAGAACTTGAGAGTGTGCTGATGTTGTACGTACCAAGTGCCGGCCAAAAACTCACATCACTCACCAAGAAAAAAACCTGAAAAGGCGACATATATTTCTAATTATACAACATGTGTCAATCGTTCCAATCCCAAGGGAGACATGAAACTGGTCTCAACTTGGTCCGGGGAACACTGGGCGTCGCTGCACGAACTCCGTGCAGCCAAACGCGCTTCAGACATCGGCGACGAGAGCCCGATGTCGGGAGCCTGCCCTGAGTGATGCAGAAGCTACCAGCAGTCACATGGAGGACAGGGTGCGATCCATGAAGAGTGCCCAACCCTTGGGGTGCCCTTGTCGTCACATTCATCCACGATGGGACTTTCGCCACACCACCCTGGCCCATGTGACTGCTGGTGTAGGTCATGTTTCAGCTTCGACAGCCACACCAAGGCATTCACTTGACCTGAAACACACCATCACATCGCCGCATCGACCACGACGGAAGGATCCCCACCAGGTCGTCTGGAAGCAGCCGCACGCGGAGCTCCAACGCCTGCAGGCGCAGGCGGGCGGGGGATGGCAGCTGCCCATTGTGGATGGTTCACATAGGATCATGCAGGCATATAAATGCATGTTTTTTTTTGGTTTTTGTCAGACACGAAGTGTTTGGGCAAGCGATTGAAGTTCTCAACTTCTTCACCTGTTCTCATGGAAAGGGTCGGGAGATCGTGTGGAATGTGGGGTCGACGCATCGTGCATGGCACGATGCGTGTTCCGCGGTTCTGCCGAAACATCCCAACGTGCACCTCAACAGCCATTCGCCGTAGTCTCCTTGATCGGAGCACACCACCTATAGGAGCAATGTTTGCACAAAGTGGTTTGCTCACCATTCAGAATATGGATGCACAATGAATATAAGTTTGTTCTATAACTTAACTAACTGATTGTTATGTTTTTGCCTGTAGCCAGTGGTTCCAAAGACTCCATTCCATAGATCGCTGTAACTGGGATCCACCTTGGGAAAGGCTTGGGTTTTGTCATACTCCCAGATCGAACGGGAATGAGAGTCAAAGTCCCCAATCGTGTGACATTCCTATACTATATACATGTAGGGTCGACATGCCGACAGTGCCAACTGGAGTTGTTGCCATGGGCTCCAACTGGCAATCCCAACTGTCCCTCAGATGCTAGTCAGTCAAACATCAAGATCCACACCAACAGAGGTTGAAGGACCTTATACGCTATCCCACAATTAGGTACCCCAGAATGGTTCTATAGGGTCACTTGACAGTCACCCGATCCTTTGGAGCCTCCAGTGCACCCCGGCCTTCTCGCTGCTCCGCACACAAAGCCACTCGCAGCTCGAGCCGCTCGCGCCGCGCTTCGTCAGCTCCGGGGCCTTGGCACCATGGGGAGGAGTGCCTGCTGCATGCCTCACCACGTGGTCTGACTGGAAGGGGGGAAGGTGTGGTGGCCAGCTTAGCCGCTCAGCCGAAGAAACCACCCCAATAGCATCCCATATTGATATACACCCATGGAATCCAGTCCTTTGTTTTGCATCAGCCTTTTGGAAACGATGAATGCCACTTGTCCACACACCCCGAACTTCTTCAGGACACGAGGCTGGTGGACCACAACGCCGATCAGCCACCCGGTCATTGAGAAGTAAGAACCCAATAGATGTCAGCCTAAGAGCGACGGCCTCCAACCTGAGAGCAATGGCCTCCACCCTAGTAGCTTGCAGCTCCGAGGAACACCTTCTGCCCCACCCCGCAGCGATGACCTCGTTCTTCTGAGAATCCCGTTGCCTCGCGGAAGAAGGCTTGCAACTCCTTCGGGGTGTCGCTCAAGTCCTCTGGAAAGCGAAGCGGGGGGATGGTCAGCGGATGAGTGGGAGTCGCAAGAACACCAGGGCCGTCCCTCATAAAAGCCCTGGAAAAGTTCAAGGGATGTCTATTAACCACCGCTTAGGCGGCCCTGGGCCACTGGGACATGGATTACAGTACTTTCTTTTGCAACTTGCAACTGTTGGGCGGGTAGAACTCTGTTTGCCCGCCCTCCAAGCCAGTCTTTTTCACTGCGTATACTTGTACAAACCTCCCGCAGGGTGTTCGCGTCCAACAAGGCTTCATGACTACAGGATACTACAAGTCAAATCCAGTGTTCGTCTGGCAGCAACAACCTGAAATTCGATACCTCAATGAGGAAAGGATGATTCACGGTGCCCTCACCGAGCTAGAGTCATGGCTGCACAAGAAATTCGGTTGATGAGGCCCAGGGTTGCATATCTACCCAAACCACTCCCTGCTGCGCTTAGGCCTGGCCCGCGCTCGCTCTTCTTCGCGACCCGACTCGTCGGCATGTTGCACCGCCAGACCCAGCAGTTTCGGTGAACGCGGTCATCGATTTGGCGCGTGAAATCGCTCGATCACCGAGGCCCTGTCTAGGCCCAGTCTAGGCCCTTGCCCTGTGCCTCGAGGTCCTGAAACAACAACAGTTCAGTGACGGTCCGACAGTGTGTTTTGATTTGGGCCATGTCCGAATTGTACACTGACTCAAAGGGCACAAAGGGCATTAGTATACAAAAATGCCAAAAACCTGCACTTGTGGGCTGGCTCACGACAAATTTGTGCCATCACCAGCGCAAATTGGCTGCACCACAAAAAATGGTGTGTCTCCGCGTCATTCCAAGTCCGCACGTCCGCATGTTTGTATGGTGTCTAGTATCAGGACGGCTGCCATCACCGCTTGTGGCCGGTCTAGGGTGGGGATTCCCGGTCAGCACAGAGCCCACAATTCCGAACTCAAAACGGAGAGATGTATTGAAGCTTATATATTACTTATTTTTAACTTAATTCTAATAGCAAACATTGTTACCACTAGTAAGGCACCTGTTACTACTAGCGATGCACTTGTTACTATACTCCTGGAACATCCAACGTACCTTTACTTTCTGCCCCTAGGGCTCTTCGATACCAAAAGCTGAACTTCGTAGCTTAAATAAGATGTTGCCTCTAAATAATCTGCCTCGAGCAGAAACTTAGCAAACGAGCAGAAACAGCTTTTGCCACTTCCCGGTGCCATTGTGGCCCTCTTGATACCCTAGAACGCTAGAAGCTGTGGCAGCTCCTGCGTGCGCCCCCTTGAGTGTTTGTGTGTGCACGCTTGAAGAGGTAGAGCTGGAGCTGCTTGGTGCCCTTCTCCATTTACCTCAGGTACGGTGATGGGATGAAGAGTTGTGGCACAATTTGATTGGCCCAGCAGGTATGCCCTGCATGTCTTAATTGTAGTATGCTTTCTGGGTGTGATTTGTTTTGTCCTTTTGTGGGCAACACTGAGCTGTGAAGGTCACCCTACGGAGATCACAAGATTGATCTTTGAGGAGGCTCCACTTTGCCAGTGCTAACACTGGGAAAGTTGTTACTTCAGCTCACCCATCTAAAGAAGAAGTGATTCTTCACAGTTTCTTTTGGCAGGTGCCACTTCCTGCTTCTGCCATAAAGGTGCTCCTCCTCCCTCGTGCTCACCGGTTGGCGTTTGTGTTTCTGAGGCTGGCAAGTTGTTCGTTCATATACCTGAGAGTTTTTTGACATAGCATTTGGCTGAAGTTGAAAGTATAGTGTGCACTACTACTGCCAGTGGGGGTCATGGCAACCGATGTTGTGGCTGAGTGGATGGAGATGGAAGAGGTTATGCACCGGGCAGCAGTGGGAAAGCTAACCCTAGCTGACACAAAGAAGGGGCTTTCAAGAGCTGATGTCGTCTCCAATGGACAGTTCTGATCCCTGTCCTCAAGCACATCGGTACCAGACCATGTTTGGATCAATTAGAGGTACACGTACAAAGGCTTTTTGTCCTGGCACGACCCCGTGGAAAGCCAGAGCTTCCACGTGTTTTGGTTGCATGGGCATGGGTGCATGTTTGGCCATGGTAGGTAGGTTCAGTCTTAACAGAATTTGTGTGGGATTGCGCGACTCTGCCTAGGTTCAAAAGCTCACATCCAAGCCTGGATCCTGAAGCGTCTGGTATCTTTGTTCAACAGGTCGGCTCGCAGAGGCCACTATCCCCGAGAACAAGGTATGCGAAACATCTACATAGAGAGTGGCATACCGCTGCCTATCAACACAGCTGGTTCAGATGAAGCTTCAGCTAGCTGCTAGTTTGCATGAAAATAACAATGCATCTAATAGATATACATCTGGATGTACATCAAACAATAGTTCATATTAGATCCTTGCCTAAGGTGATGGCGAGGGCTCTGATGGTTCTGGCCATGAGACCGATGCGGGCCCTGAGGACTCTGAGACTTAATCAGTTCTGGGGGTTGTGATTGGGTTTGTATTTTCTTCCAGGACCCTGTAGAGCCTGGTAAAGTGGAACGACCTTCACCCAGTGCTTGGCCCAGAAATTGCACCAGCATATACATGCATGCATATGTCCCTTCACCACCCTCTTTGGAAACCAGTGGCTGTTGTCCAGGTGCCCTTTGTGACGATGCTGAAGGTGAGGACGGCGAAGAGGAACCTGCAGAGGAGGACTCAGTTGTTGAGCCCTTACCCTTGGATGGTTCACCAGGTGCAACAGCAGATTGCACATTGGAAGCTGTCCATGATGGGGGTGATGAAGTCAACACAACCCCTGAAAGTAAAGCCGCAGACTCTTTGACCACCCCTCCACCCCGTGGATCCCTAGTGTTGCTTCAGAAGCATTTTAGTATATATTGTTTTCATTTGCTGAGGCTAGCTACAGGTTTTGATTTGTGGAAGTGGTGTTCGCTAAGGAGAGACAGTTGTTGGCTCGCTAGATTTGCCTAGCACTGAGAAAGTGGCAGAACCCACAGCCAACAGTGTGATTGGCATGGCCAAGTCCCTTTTTGGGGAAGAACTCAAAGAGTCTGAACCGCTTCCTGCTGAAAAGGCTTTGACCGAAGAGATGATGTTGCTTCAGCAGTTGGAGGCTGAAGCAGCACAACTAGAATCTACCATCTCGGAGCTTCAGCTGGAAGAAACCGTGCTTCGTGAAATGGAATCTGAGGCTCAGTCATGGGGGCTTAAGATTGAGGACCTGAAAGCTCAACAGCAGGTGTTGGAGGAGCAATGTAAGGAACAGAGTGACACATGCTCCATGCTCAATGCCAATATTCCTGCGCCAAGCCACACCGCCCCGAGTGCCTTTGTTCTACAATATGTATGTGAAAAGTGTTTCATGTTTAGTTATTTTTGCATGTAAGGCTGGCAGGTATAGTATGGGGAAGAACATTGGAATCTATAAGTCTAGAACTTCTGCAGGTGCTGTTTTCCTTGCCACTGGCGACATCGACAACCTTGACACACTTCCCTATAATGTCCCCGAAGTCGAGATTGAAGCTTTGTGCAAGGCCTCTCTGGGGTGTGAAAGCTTAAATGGAATTGTCGTAATTAATATTCCCATGAGTTTGTGTCTTGTGGCAGGTGCCCCAGGATGCTGGAGATGAGGCCGAGGTCTCCCCTACTCTGCCTGAGCCTGGCATCTTAACCCAAAAGACCCTGATTCTCGGAGAGACTTCTGACCCGGAGCCGTTGCCTGAGAGCAAAGACCAGCCACTTTCCACACCTCAGCGGGACCAGAAAGACACACATGAACCTGTGGGGAGCTCTTTGCAAAGGGCTAACACAAAACCATACACCGCGGAGAATGATGGAAAGCACCCCGCACTGACACGACCAAAGGTGCTTGAAGGCCTGACATGCATATCTCCGCAACAGCAGGAAGACCTGACAAAAAGGTCAAAGGGAAAGGGGAGGGTTACCGGCAGCAAGAAGCAAAGGGAAACAAAATCTCGAAGAGGGGCTGCTTCAACCCGCACAGGGAAGGGGAGTGCTAAAGGGAAGGGGAGGAGGTCCAAGAACATCCTGCGCAAGTCCAAGAGCATCAGGAAGGCCAGGTCGGAGGTAGTCAACAATGAGCCTGAGGCTGAGGTATCCACACAACAGAAGCGACGCCGGTTGAGGAGGTGTGCCAGCATTGAGGCAACAAAGGTCAAGGATTCCAGTGCCAGAACCAGTGTTCCTGCCACAACCGAGGCAAAGGATTCCAGTGTTCCTGCCACAACCGAGGCTAAGGGCAGAAAGGTTGCAGGAAGTCCAGCAAGCAAAAGGCAGCCACGAAGCAAACTGGCAGGGCGCAAAAGCAAAACATGCAAAGCAAACACTGAGGCAAACAGTAAGACCAAGCCTGTGACAAACAAGAGGAAGGCGCAGGAAGTAGCTGAGGACAGTGCAAAGTCCAAGAAGGCTGACAAGAGCGACAAAGCAAGCAAGGATAAAAAAGCAAAAGCCAGCAGAAAGAGCTCAGCATACCACAAGGCATACAAGGCAGCAATCAAGCTTGGCCTGGAGGAATCCGAGGCAAAGAAAAAGGGGAAAGAAGCTACTCAGCTCCAACAAGTGTTCAGTATTTATATGTGTTAATATATAATATGATATTAATTGTCAATTCTCTAGGTCCAAGGTATTGGGATGGGAGGTTGGGCTACGCCAGGCTTATGCTGCCACCAACTGATGCTCTGTGAGTCCTCGTGATTTGCTTTAGGGGTTTCTGCATGATGCATCCATCATGCATGGGGTTTCACGTGTTTGCTGCTAATCTCATCTGGCCGGGTTGCGCAGTAGCACCCAGGCAATTTGTTAGCTGCTTAGATCATGTGTGGGCAATGGAAAGGATTGAAGAAATGATGTACAAGCAGTCTGTTCACTTCAAAGACTGTGTCCAAACAAACAACTTGAGCCACCCCGTCCCTCAACCCATGGGGGATGGAAGTGAACATCACTGACAGCCCCATCGCAGGTCCAGGATGTCTGCTGAGGGCTGGGCCATACGAGCAGGTGCCCTCCACTGTGCTCACCTTTGAGCTAGAGCGATTCTTTGGGTTTGCGACCTTTGTGTTTCACAATGCACGTTAATGGTTGTACCTTCTGCAGCTTCTGTGACAGCTAGCTTTCTGGGTGCCGGCGTTGAGCCATGGAGAGCATTGTTATGAATTTAGCCCAGATGAGGGCACCTAAGGCACTGGATATATATATATATATAGAGATATGTGTATTGCTGAAAAGCTTGAACAAACAACAACAGCCTGAAGAACCTTGAACTGTTAAGCCGTTTGTTTTGCACCCGGAGGTTTTGATAGCTGTGATCCTGGGGGTGCTTTGGTCCACCAACCTACCTAGGGTTGAGCCTCGCTACAACTTTGTCGACCTCTTTTGTGGAGAGGCGCAAGCAACGAAAACAGCGTGGCTTGCCAGAACCAGTCAACCAGTCATGATGGGGGAAACCTTAAGCAAGCAGTTGTCAAAGAAGTCTTTTTTGCTTGTGGTGGTGGACCACATCAACCAGGATGGCTTTGGGCTACACCGTGGCATCCTTTGACAAGCTGTTAAAACCAGATTCCCGATTCATGGACTTCAGCAGCCCACCAGGAATTCTGTGACTTAGCAACATCTAGTGTGGAATATTTGGAGGGAGAAACAAACAGTTCTCCTGCTTTTGCCCCGCATGAATTCTAATTCGATCTATATGTTTCGTGGCCCAAGGCTGGTGATACATACTCTCCTCTGTCTTGGTGAAGAGTCTTTGGTGCTGATGGGACCCGACTGTGGAAGTTGGGGAATGCCGGCGCGGGGAACAAGCCAAAGAAGCTACATCAACCCATGTGGTTTGGGCCATCTCCCTTTCGTAGAGGAAGGAAATCTTTGCATATCAAGGTCTTCTGGAAACATATTCATTGAAGACTTTCGATATTATATGTTTGAAATTCTTGGCTGTCCTCAATATTGGAAACTGGAACCCCTCACCTCAGCCTGGTCATGTCCCCATTCAGCTGAGGGTGGTGATGCTCTGTTTCATTCTTGTGGCACGGCATTGCTACTTTGTTTTGGAGCACCCATCACAGACTTTACTTGAACGACACCCACGCTGGGAAGCTTTTTGCAATTTGACTACCTTTGCCACCTGGCTCATCAACCGCCTTCAAACCTTAATGGGGGGTGCAAAACAAACCCGCCTCATGTATTCGACTCTTGATCTAAAACCATGGTGTGTCAAATAGAAGGGCCTATAACTTTCCTATAGTAATCTTCCTTGGAATGCCCCACACACTCTCGCAGGTATGGCGGCAAGAGTTCTGGATGATGCTCTTGGGATCCCCGACTCCCAAGCGGACAGTCACCTTCGCAAATGGTGCGTTCATAGCTGGTTTGGACAAGGGAACTTTGACCAAAGACTTCCGTGTAAAGAACACTCAATTCGAATCAACGCGTCGGGCCCTTACTTTTCTAGCTTGAGGCCACAAAACACTCATACTAGTTGAGCTCATGCAGGGGTCTCCAAATATACTGCGGTGAGGCAAATATGTCCGGAAAGGTGAGAAGAAGTTCCAGGGCAACAAAACTAATCTGAAAAAGACTGGGTGGGTAGCCCAGCTGGCTGTAGCACAAATCCATGTACATGCCTTTATGTCCACATTTTGGCAGGGCCTACACGGAAGGCTTCATCAAGGAGCTCCTTAGGTGCTTTGAGAGCCGGGGGCCTTTCACATGCATGCTGCGAACCAAGCAGAAGATAGACTCCACATGTACTGACAGGTCCATCTTTGAGGCACTCCCATTAGGAGATGTTTGGATTGAGTCAAAAATGCATTTGGCCTGGGCCTACATCTACAACAACAAGTACATGGTAGTGCCGGATTCTTGGCAAACTGCTATCCAAAGCTTCAACAAAGAGCTAGTTGAGAAGGCCTTTTGGTTGCATATAGTGCCAAACAGCAAGCTGGGACCCTCTACTGTACCATATAGTACCCAACCACCTGTGCCCAGGTTTCCGTTTCTGAGGAGGAACGGCAGGCCTTGAACACTTTGGTCGCTGAAAGCAGCGGCGCATAGCCTCCGAATTGGGCTGTGCATGGAGACTTGTGCGGGAAAGCTCCCGAATCGATCGTGGCAGTACTTTCACGTGTTAGCTAGACACGGGAACGGCCGCAAATTTCCGCAAAAGGGGCGCAAATATCCGCAATTTTCCGCAAACGGGCGCAAATAATTTTTGTGTACCAATTGGTTGCAAGATGATCGTTTTGTTCTTTTGATTTCCCAACTGTTGTAGGCAAGTCTTGGATCAAAGCTCTGGTATGTCTACAGAAAGGTTGTCTTCTTGCAACACCCTACGGGTGGGCTGTGAGACCATGGACACTTCATTGACCTCGCAAATAGCTATTGCGGAGAACCACAAAGCAAACATCATGGCTAAGATAGAGGCTGGATTCATGGTGCACAGGATGTTGTTTTGATAGCCCCCCCCCAACCTTACTTAAGCATAGCTGGCAGGCATCGCGCCAAAGGATCGCAGCTCTACAGGGCAAGGTTGGCTCATCAACATCTGGGCCTGTTGTGCCTCCAATTCCAGGACTGTTGCCAATTGATTGTTTCCTTTTCCCTCACAATCGTTCAATGCAGGAGCACCTTGCTTTGCAGCTGAAGTGGGAAAATTCATTGCAGGAAACCCGCAGCAGAGTTTGGGTGCACATGGTCTTGCACGTCAGGGTTCACAAGAGACACAGTATGACAGCTACTGGCGGCACCAAGCACGTGAGGAAGCCAAACTGTTTGGATCTTTGCACCCTGTTCACGTTGAAGTACCTGTCCAGGAACCCCCATCACTGCCTCAGGAGCCAGTCCATGAACCCAAGCCTGAGGAGCCTGTCCATGAACCCAAGCCTGA